CGTATGTGTGTGTCTCCGTGCTTGTGTATATACGTGCGTGTGTATGCCTGTGCGTGCGTGTGTGTGTGTGTGTGTGCGTGTGTGTGTGTGTGTGTGTGTGCATGTGTGTGTGTGTGTATGTGTGTGTGTGTGTGTGTATGTGCGTTTGTGGGTGCGTGTGCGCGCCGCGTTCTCGAGTCATCGTTTCGTCATTGATTAAACTTTTACCTAAAGAGTTCATAACAAAAGCACGTAATTTTTAACCTTGCTGAAATTACTGAGAGGCAAAAACTGAGGACAACATGTTAAGAGGTCATTGGTGGTTGTGGAGAGAATGAAAGTTGGTGGGGAGGATGGGGAGGATGGGGAGGATGGGGAGGATGGGGAGGATGAAAAGGGAGAGGGCTGAGAAGTGTGTGAGAGGGTGGGGGAGTTTGTGTGGTGGGGGGGGGGGAGTTTGGTAAGTGTTTTACGGCGCTTGCAACTGCATAAGGCCAAATGAACCCCCGGGACACATTAATTTGAGACGAAAAGACTATTTTATCTAATTAGTGGGATACATGGTTAAGGTGGAAAGCCGACGAATAACCTTTGTTCCTGACTTAATAATAATAAGTAATAGCAAATAGCATGTGTATAGCGCATATCCCTGCTCTCCATCAAGCTCTACGCGCTTTACACACTATATTATTATTACCCCAGCAGACCATAGAACACTCAGAAACATTCTCAGCTTCCCGGGAAGCATACAGTGCAAGCAGTTGTTAAGTGCTCAAACACTAACAAACTGACAAGATCTTTCGCTGCCTATAGCTGGGTACCCAATCCCACCTGGTTGAAAAGAGAAAAATGCATGTCAAGTGCCTTTCCCAAGGACACAACGTCGTGTCCCTGACGGGATTCCAACCCACGACCTTACAGTTACGAGTCCAAGAGCCTAACCACTAGGTGCAGAGGAAAAGAACATAGTAGGATGTTAATGATTTCCCAGAGTAAGTAAGTGTTTCACGGCGCCTGCATTGGCCCACATCACATCACATAAAACACTCTTTTGATAAGTAAAGTTTATATAATGAATATGTACAGGTTGTGCACATATCTCTTATCATGGTACAAACATTGCATATTTCTGGCACTGGGACGAGACAGGCTGGGAGGGATTAACAATTTCCTTTGAGGAACAAAGTGTGAACAATAGAAAATAAAGTGAAATTCATCTTCAATTTCATGAGAGATAATGTACTGATGACGTGTCGTCTTTCACTTTGTATTTCAGAGACCAAACTCCTATGATGTGTAAAGAGAGGAAAGTGTGTGTTTATTACCAATGAAGTTGACAGTAAGCGCACCTTGACAGCTTGGATTGGACACGTTCCGAAGAACAAGACAGACATCTAGATTTCCCTGGGCCGAAGAAACGCCACCTGTGTTCCGAAAAAAGACGCGTCCTCTAGCGTCTTGAATGACGTACAGTCGTCCTAAAACTCTAATCTCTCTGGTCGTGGCAAGGCATTCCTCCAGATATTACTGTACATAGGCCCACTTTGGAGAGATACTATCTACGAGAAAACAAAGCAACTCCGGTATCTCTGTGTGGATATAAACATAGAGTGTGCATGCAACTTCGTTTTCACTATTCGGTCACTGCTGTGTTGACGTGCATCCATCTACTCACACGAGCGAGCAAACAAACTTCCATCTGGTTTAGGTTCGATTCAGGACGGATATATTGCATAACGACATTATAACATAACTCATAACAATACAATAGCTGTAGGAAAAGCGGAAGAAATTATATGATACCAATTTATAGAAATTAGTATAATATGGATTTGTAAATAACATTTTGAGGACTGAATTCATACTGAAGGAATGATGTGAGAACAGCTTATTGAAATTGTAAGGTGCAACTCTCTACGGCTAAACTGTTTTGATTTGTTTTTTTGGGGGTTTTTGTGAGTTGAGCATCTGTTACGATTTATTTGTTTCTCCACCTACTGCTCACTATGGCTGGAGGCAACAATAACGGTGAACTCAACAAAGGGACTGAGGTCAAGGTCGCTGATCAGGGATGTCTTCACAAGTTCACTTCCTGTCGATGGACACTGGCGTTTCTGCTGCTGCTTCTGCGCATGTGCCAAACGGCGTTACGTCAGAACATCGGGATGGCGCTGGTGTGTATGGCGGAGAGGCCTCCGTCTGCTCCCTTCCTGCCCACAGACAACGTCAGCAGGAACCACTTGACGTCTGCCGACAGGGGAAGGTTCGTCCCAGTCCTTTGTTTGTTTCTTCCATCCTTTCTTTCTTAATTTCTTAATTTCTTAATTTCTTAATTTCTTTCTTAAATTTTTTCTTCCTTCTTTCCTTCCTTCCTTCTTTCTTTCCTTCCTTCCTTCCTTCCTTCCTTCCTTCCTTCCTTCCTTCCTTCCTTTCTTCCTTCCTTCCTTCCTTCCTTCCTTCCTTTCTTTCTTTCTTTCTTTCTTAATTTTTTAAATTTCTTTCTTTCTTTACTTTCTTTTTTTCTTTCTCTCTATCTTTGTTTGTTATTTTGTTTCTTTTTTCTTTTCTTCAATTCTTTCTTTCTTTCTGTCTCTCTTGCTTCTTTATTTCTTTCTTTTTTAGCCTCTAGGCATTGTCCGTCCACTGCAGAATGTAGCCCTCCAACAACCACCCTCATTCTCTTCTATTTGCTGTATATTACGAAAATATTAGCCTCTTAAAAGAACTGGCTATCTAACCAAAAAATGGATTGACAAGCAGAGGACTAGATTATTTCACAGGCAGATTGTTTCGATCCCATCAAATCACGCTAAGTGAGGTTGAAACTAATATTTTCGTACTGCCTGTCTTCATCAGAGTGTGCGGTGGCAGAGCGGTTAGTGCGCTCGTCTCCGAATTGGAAAGTCCAGGTTCGAGCCTCGGTTCGGACACGGATTTTGTTCGCCCCCTCTTGCCCACCCAGCAGTAATGGGTACCTGACTTCGAGTTGGGGAAGTAAAGGCGGCGTGGAAAGAAACGGGCCACCCTACCACATTATCCCGAAGGCCCAGGAAGTTATGTCACTAACAAGGCAATCCCCAATGTCGGATGTGGGAACAACTTTTGACCCTCATTAAATTTCCAAGAGTGCATCAAAATGATACTTGTCCTAACCTACGTACTTCAGATAATTGCAAAAAAGACTTTTTTTTTCGACAGAATACCGGCGACAAAAGATGGCGTCTCTGCAGAGCAGGCGCCCTCGATCAAATACTCTCTACACCTCAACTCCTCTGTCGTCATCGCCGGGGTCATGAGAGGTCACAACTCGACCCCCGATGACCTCCAGCAGAAATACTTATGCGACACAGGTATGGTACCTAGTGTTCACCTGATGGCCTTTTTACACCTCATTTTCTGACTCTATCTAAATGATTCCATTTTTTTTCTATTTTATATATCATTTGTGAGGCATTGTGGTATCAGGCGCTAGTCAAAATAAAGAAATTGAAGATATCATCTTTTTTCAGCAGGTTTTACAAAATTTGTAGAGTTTTTTAATTATTCCTCAACACCTTTTATGTCTACCTAAAAACCTATCACAGTGTTGATTTTACTGAAAAAAGTTGGAAAATCACAGGAAATTAAAAGTTTCAATATCCGAAGGCTCACAAGATTTGGAAGTCACCAACATTTTGGCTGTGATTTTTCTTGCTTTTTTTACCCCTGAAACCAGGTTGTCCCCCATCCTCTTCAATTGTAAATATTTCGACTTTTGCTGAAGACAAAAGGTTACTTTTTTCAACCAATGAACAAGTTTTTAGATGATACCTATAAAGAGCGTATCATATATAAAATCTGTTTAACTTGCTACAAGTGCTTAAATGATTTATCACCGGACTATCTAAAACAGCTTTTAACACCCTATGTGCCTCCTAGAACGCTCAGATCATCTAGTGACAAAACAACCCTTGTTAAGCCTAAAATAAATTTCAAATCATATGGCCAACGCTCTTTTTCATATTTTGCCCCACTTGTTTGGAATAGGCTTCCAAAAACTATCAGAGAAGCAGAAAATCTAGAAATTTTTAAGAAGAAACTAAAATCATTTCTATTTTCATCATATTTCGATTAGACAGAATGCATCCAAGCTGTAGATCGTTGTGAGTTTGTATGTGCGTATGTGCATATGTATGTATGTGTGTATGTGAGTATGTATATATGTGTGTGGTGCGTGCGTGAGTGAATATGTGTTTGCATGAGTATGTAACACTATGTACCTTTAAAATTGATTTGTAAATCCATTATATGTATCATGTTAAGCGCATAGAGCATTGCATAAGTGGATATGCGCTATATAAATGCAATCCATTATTATTATTATTATTACCTATAACTCAGCATTCTGACAATTTGACGACCCCCTGATTCCTCCACATCGTGACACATTTTAGGATAATTTGCCTTGAATAAACTGAATGATAATGATTCGACAGCTAGGTGTTTATCATTGGGGTAGTGGTCGGAATGTTCCCGATCTATTTATATATGTGTCACAACGGGGTGGATTTGGGCGCTCGTCAATTCTTTTACATGTGGAGTTATTGACATCATTTTAAAGCTTGCTCATTTGTCTACTTTCGGTTTTTAAAAATCACTCTATGTTGAATAGAAGTCGAAATATTGATGATTAAAGTTAGTCAGGGTTGCCTAATTTCAGAGGTACAATTTACGAGAAAATGGCCTCAAAATTTTGTAACTTACATATCCCGAGAGTCCTTGGAAACTGAAAATGTTCATTGTTTATGCTTTTAAACAATGTTTTCAGTAACATCCACACAAAAAATTATGTGTCTTAAGGGGACATAAATGAAGTTGAGCCAAAAAGTATAAATTCGATAAAAATGTTCAAACTGGCGGAAAAAAATGGCTGTTTCTTCGATTTCAATATTTTGAAGAGCGCTTGATTCCACCACGGTGTTTCACATATTCATTCAAAAAAGATATCTAGACAAGATAACATAAGTTATACTTTATCTTCTGGGCATTTTTCTTATTGTACTTATACGAATAAATGATTGTTCGCTAATGCATTGCATACTATTAGACATGTTACTGTCCTTCCCGCTTCTTTACAGTCATGCTAAGATACCTATATATATATATCTGTGCTCTTCTTTCAAAAGGCTGTTGTGGTTCTTCTTTAGCTTCAACTGCTACTCAAAAAAGCAATGACAATCAACTTTGCTTGATGGCTAAATTTTATTGTAAAGTGCCTGTCTCTTCATAAAAATTACAGTCTTCTGGCTTATGTGCTATACATTATGTTCTTCGCTTGCAAAAGTTCGAATCCCACTACAGATGTACTACGGGAGAGACCTCTAATCTCTAACACTATGTATAAGACAAAAACCTGTACAAGCTGTCATTTCACATCCCCATTGCACCCCCACCCCCAATGGAAAGGAAGGGCGGGGATGCATGCAATATTTACAAACATTTGGGGCAAAGTACTTGCCTATGGAAACAAAAAATAACCATCTGCAGGTGAATGGGAACGAGTGAGTGCAGCTTTCGCTAACACATTGGATAAACAAAACAAAACAAAGAACATATGTGTCACGACGCGGTGGAATCAGGCTCTCGTCAATTCTTGGGCATGTAGAGTTATTGGTATCATCTTAAAGCTTGTTCATTTGTCTTGCTTTGATGAAAAAAATATCCAGTTGTCTTTAATAGAAGTCGAGATATTTTGGAATAAAGGAGGTGGGGGTCACCTGGTTTCAGAGGTAAAATTAGTGAGAAAAAGGCCACCAAAAATTAGTTATTTCATTAGCTTGAGAGTCCTTGGAAACTGAAAATTTACGTTTTGTGTGCCTTTAATCAACTATTTTCAATAAACATCCAACAGAAATGTGTTCTTTAAAGGACATGAAAGGTGTCGAGCCAAAAAACAAAAATTCGATACTAATTCACAAACCCACGGAAAAATGTAAGTTTCTTCACTTTGATTATTTTGACGAGCGCCTGATTTCCCCACGCTGCCTCACATATAGATTCTACTCACGCCC